GAAGTGGGCGTGGTTACAGCCCGATTTCGCCCATTTTCAATACCAACCTACCTTGGACTAAGGGAAATCTACATACCAAATTTCGTTGCGATATCTCAATTTTTGCTCGAGTTATCGTGTACACGGACGGACGGACAGACGGACAGACGGACGGACAGACAGACATGGCTTAATCGATTTCTCTATTCATTCTGATCATTTATGTATACATTTGTCTATATCTATCTCGATTCGTTTTGGCTGTTACAAACAACCGTTATGTGAACAAAATTAATATACCCTTGTGCACAAGTGCGCTCGGGTATAAAAATATTCAGACGAATTGATAAACTTCTCCTTTTTGTGAAGTCGGTTAATAAAATATATTTAAAAAGCTCTATAAAATGTTATTTTGGTAAAAATTTTCGATTTATAAAGCAGTGAAAGCCTGTTTTAACTCGACTTTGGAGATATATTAAAATAAGTCTTACTGACATATATCTCGCTATTTTTCCCAAAAATTTTGGCGGAAGTCTTAAAATATAGTAAGTTTCAAATTTTCGATGGAAAGCCAGTACCGATTTTAACGGAGAGTGATGCATCATAACACACATACATAGTTTAGACACTTGCTTCGGCAAAAATATGCCTAGCCACGCCCAAAAAAATAAAAAAATTAATTAAAAATCGGGTTAGCCTAATAATTTTGTTGTTTATTACCCGATATGGATTTTTGGTGCACTTAGGAAAAAGTACTTTTAGCAGCTACATACTTATACGTATCTTTAAGGCCATTAGAAGTTTCCTTACTTACCGAAATGTTTCATCTTATAACAACACCGTGCAACAAAAACCAAAAAATTCCAAAACACCAGTAGCAACTATGTATGGGACAGATACAGTGAAACGGCGATTTTAGTTTTTTCTCTCGGATGTCAGGATTACATATTAAGGATCCACTTGCACAATACCTGGCTAGCGTAGTCAAAGGGAAGTCTTCGGTTTAAGCCCTATAGTATCCAGTTAGTAATATCGAAAGGGTGTTCGCTTTTAGTAAGTCTATCCCGTCTATGCCTTCCTGGATATCGAGATTGTTTTGGAGCTATCCCACTATTTAGTGTTGGAGGACCTATTAAACAAAGGATTGAAGGAAGGTGATTACAGTGCTATTGGGCACGCGGACGACGGACGCGGTACTTATTGTTACAGGGGAAAATCGGCAGTACTGTGACAAACGTCATGAGTGCAGCTCTGCGTGAGGTATCTAAACGTTGTGCCAAAGAGGACCTCAGTATAAACCCACAAAAGGCTTGCTTCGAATACTCTTAGAGAGAAATAGTGTTTAAATACTCCTAAAAGTAAAATTCCTTGGAGCTACCGTCGATAGGAGACTAAGTTAGAGTTCCCATTTTATCGATAGTATCGATGGTTTCATTTTGCCGCCACTATTGAATTTTTCTAAACACTATCGATAGTTGTATGTTGTTCACATTGTTGGAATTGGACTATAAAAGATGCATATGCCTACATATGTATGTATGTATGTATGGTGTGAACTCATTTGTTTGTAAACATGTTCTTGATGGTTTTTGTTATAAAATGTGTTATTGAAAAGCACGATCTCATTTTGTTTTGCAGAAGTTGTTTTGGTGTAAACAAATAATCTTTCTGGTTCTGGTAGTTACATACGAAATGGGTTATTTATGAATAAGATTTCTTCCTGGCTGCTATTATCTTATATATTAAAAGAAGAAATGAAGAAATTTACGGGCGATTGGATGTGTCATAACACTTGCCAAATTTTTCTTGGACCATACAAAATTTAATCAAATTTGCATATTTACGAAATGTTATGCCCAGTTTCACTACTCAATTTTAAATTTGTCAGGCCGTTAAAATTTAAAATGACAATAATTTTTAGGAGATTGTGCTATTTTAAATTTTAAGTTTGATACATTTTAAAATTGATTGGTTAAACCGGGCATTGGTGTTATATCTTAACATATGTAAGCAAGCTTTCGATAGTATCGAATATTTGGCACTATCACTGTCGAAACAAACGAATATATACATCATCGATCGTCTATCAACACTAGTACTTTGACGTTCATCAAATCATGGCAGCAAAAAACACGGTAATACTCATTCGATTTATTTTTCTTCATAATTTATCTTCATTAAGAGATTGTATATATATATATATGTACATTAAAATACACAATTTAAGTAAGTGTAAAAATATAAACATACACATGTGTATTTACATACATAAATATTTATATGCAAACATCAACAAGTGCATATGCATATACAAATGTACATACAGTATGTGTATACTAAGACCGGCGATGCTGCATAGCTGTGCATCGTCCATAAATGCACTCGTTATCGGCATATTTTAACGTCATCATCAGCATCGTCACCAGGATTGTTAAGTTAGTCGTTGGCAGCAATAACCGGCTGACTTTTGTTATTTTTGCTGCTTGTTTATTTTTATCATGCGATTCTTGTACCAGACATATCAGTTTGTATGAAATTGTCCTTACTGGCATACTTATTGCTATCATCCATAATAAAGGCATTCAGTGGCAATAAATGCAAAAGTAATGTGCATGGCATTGGCAGAAAGCAGAATGCACATGCCTCAAAGCAGCGAACACAATCACCAGCGAAGCTGAGGCGATTTTCACACTTAACTGCCATGGCTGGCCGGTTGGTTGAGAAAATGCATAAATACGTAAATGTATGTATGTAGGTATGTATGTAAATCGGTATATGTGAAATCGCACGTACATACATATGTATGTATTTTCATGCCACTCGCATATGCATTTGGAAATATCCTGGTGCATAAACGCAAACAAGAGTGTGATATGTGCATAAAGCCATAACTGTAAAATCGCCTAGAGCACAAACTTACGTATGTACGCATGTGTTTTGTTTTTTATAAGAAGGAAGCAACGAAAGTCTCTGCATCCCATCCTGTCAGTGTGGAATTTAAACCCGAATAAACCTTCTAACATCCTGTACCGTGTTTCCCTCCGGTATTACCATCAAGTACACGGTTGCCACACGACAATAAATTTCTTGACCAGAATTTAAAAAAAAACAGTTTTTTAAAAGTTACCAAGTAAACAACAACGTTTTATTACACAATAAACTGCAAAAATAAACCTCCTTCATTTTCCATGAATAAGACATGGGTACAATAAAGAGTTTTATCAAAAGAAAACTAAGCAAATTCATTTTACATATGAGGCCATGAGGGCCACACATTTTTTTAGATAAAGAGGGATTTATAAAAAATAAATGCGGTATTTTACAACAAAAAGAGTTCATTGCATCTTAGTTGTTGCTTAGTCCATCTTAGTTAGTGCCAGTCCCTCGTTCTACGCTTACTTCCCTTCACTCCAACCAATAGGAGCGAAATCTATCGGCAACTTCTCTTCTTCTTATTTGGCGCTGTAACCACCTAAGCGATTTTGGCACAGATTAACAAAGCCCGCCCGCCAGTCGTTTCTTTTCTGTGCCAACTGACGCCAATTGGAAATGCGAAGTGAAGCCAAGTCCTTCTCCACCTGGTCTTTCCATCGCAGTGGGGGCCCCCACTCGTCTTTTCCTACCACCAGCGGGTTCCGAGTAGAATACTTTCAGAGCTGGAGCGTTGGTGTCCATTTGAACTACATGGTCAAGTCATCGGAACCGCTGTATTTTAATTCTCTGCACTATGTCCATGTCGTTGTAAAGCTCATACAGTTCATCGTTCCATAGCATGTGGCTTTCGCCCTCGCCAACGCGTAAAGGCCCGCAAATCCTCGGAAATTTTTACTAATAAGTATAGTATTTGCTTGGATTTTTGCCATTTAAAACTCACAATTGCCTACGTATCCTCTTAGTACGTTCCATCACACATCTTGTTAAGGTATCTAGCTTGAAGTTCTGATTTTTTTTTTTTTAAAGCCTCAGAGGCTTTCTTATATCCCCAGCGATGCTATACTTATACAGGAGACCCAATAAAGCTCACTCGGCTTATATTTAAAATTTCCATTCTTATTAATAAGCAATCTTCATTACATTTTATGCCGTTCATTTAAACTGCCATAACAATACATGCACACTATCATGTACATACATGTAAAATGACAATTTTTCAATCTTCCTCTTAATCGTTTTACTTTGCACAACACTACAGCTACTTAAAATGCTCATCGTTATATTTTTCCATAGCAATTTGCAATGTCGCTTTTACATTTCCATTTCAAGCCAAGAGGCAAAGCAGAATTACTTCATTAAGAGAACAAAAAATCTCACCTGTATTCTCTACATAAAAATTCCGTTTCAAAAGAATTTTTAACTTTGACGACGTAATTCCACTAACTTCCTTAAGTGCTAATGTACCCATATATGAACTTATATGTATGTATACACATGTATGTATGTATGTATGTATATGAATTCAGTTATTTCTTTTCCACACACACAAATAGACATACAAATGTACATGCATATGTATTTCATCGTGTCTCCACATTGCCTTTGGTATGTAAAATTGTTGGTGCTGTCATGCCACAGAAGTCAAAGTGGACATGCATAAATACATATGTATGTATGTACGCATATGCATACATATATGCATTTATACATATATGTAGGTATGAATGTATACATTTGATTACGTTTGCTGGCAACTCAAATGTGAAGTGCACTCTTGAGTGCCCATAAAATGTACAAGTTCTTCAAACTGTGAATGAATGCAATTCGATTTCATATACGAGTACTATGTGCAATTATATATATGTATGTATGTATATGTAAGCATGTAATACATATATATGTATTTCAAAAGCAAATGTACTTGCGATGGTTAAATGTGATTCCATAAGCCCTCAATGGACACAACCACCTTGGCAAGTGAATGAGAAGAATGACATTTCAGGAACTAACTAAAATTTAAATCTAACAAATTAAAATAAATTCTAATTTAATGGTAACAAGCAGGTTTTTGTAGAGACAATTAGGGGCTGTAAGCTTCAATGGAAGGTTTATTTAGTTACATAATATATAAAGATTTAAAATTTAAAGGAATCGCCTTTGGTATGTATTTATGCAAAAAGACTTTAAAAAAAAATTAGTATGCAATAAGCTAGGTTACTCGATTCTGATGCGAACTATATAGAAAAAAAGCTCTCAAATGAATTGGTTATTTTTTCGATATCAAAATTTATATGCAGTTCAGTTTGCTATATCGGAAAAAATGCCGACTCAAATTAAACATTTTCCAAATAAATAGTGAATATTTACTTAAAAATTGTATGAAAGTTTTTGTAATAACGATGGCAAACATAGAAATTCACAGTTGCATTAGGTTCGTATTAATATCAATCGCATGTGTCTCTGAATGTCATACACATGTAAAGTATGTATTACTGAAACGACCAGGCGGGCTATAGGGCACCAATATCGTACGTGGCGTATGAGTAACATTCTTTTCTGCCATATTTCATATAAAAAAAAATCATTGCGCATTTCTATTTAATTGTTTGAAAACGTCGGACTGCCTTTACCTTGTAATGTATTTATCATCTTATACAGCCATAAGTTATTTAAATATAAGAAGAGCTGTCTACAATTATCGCGATAGTAGACAGTGGTTCTGTGTTCGCCCGAAGATCCTAAAGGATTTAGTTTTTCAGGTCGTGTACTCGCTTATCTTCGACGGACGGGACTAGACAAGTTATTCTACTGTGTCCAGGAGTTCTTAATTTCCCAACTCTTTGAATCTGAAAGCAGACTCCGAAATGGGGGGGTACATTATATGAATGTCAATGTAAAATATAGCACCCCTTCTGTGTACACCTAGAGTACCATTTTTGAGTTCGTACTCCGCGTTTTCCAAAAAATCTGCTTGCAAGACTAAAAGGCAATGCAATTGCATTTTTTATTTTATTTTTTATTTTTTCTATATTGATTTCCCAGATATTATGAACGTTTAGAAATCATAGACTTTGTTCATTCAACTTTCAAATACGGACATTTTTGTTTGAAGGTTCCATCTCTGTGAATATATCGTTGGCACTACGAAGGACTGATGGGCCGGAGTAGTTCTCCCCCACCAACAACTTACTCAATCTATCGGTATCACTGATGCTCTCTAAAGTATTACGTTCTCCCGAGGATTTCGTCGATGTTCTTGTCTCAAGGCAGCATTTTTTTTTTTGGTCCCAAGTTCTTTTACTTCGAGTACCACCCCTTATCTTGCATACCCATCAGATCTCATTTCTTATCCCACTAAGTTACAACACTAATGTCAATAAATTGAACATTTAAAAAAAAATGTATCATCCAATGTAGGCATCCCTAAAAATGCAAAAAGGCGAGACCTTAGTTCGGCCAAGAAAAAATATAAAAAACTACATAATTTTAATTTAAGATGCCAAGCGAAAGGTTGTGGCTTATATAAATGATATTCTAGAGACGTACGTACATGTATGTATGTGGTTAGCATATCCCACACATAAGCTAAATATATAATTTAGTCATAAATAAGTTTAAAAAAAAAATATTTGCGGTAAAGCCAAACTTTCTCTAACCCACAGGCAGCACTAAACAGCCTACAGCCGCAAGTCAATGAAATCACACGCAACACAGCCGGTTTCATGCTATACGCCAGCTCATTGCAGCTCCGTGTACACATCGATGACCCACGTTTCATATCAAAAAGTGAAATTCTCGAATTGAGATGTGTGGCGGATATTATGGGCATGTCGAATGTGCGACGTGAAAGTAAGGTGCGCGCAACAATTTTGGCGCTACGTGATGCAGGACACAAACAACGACTATTAGGGCAAAGCAATGATGGTGAGACGAAATCTGGAAGTAGTAGATGTGAGAGTGAAGGTAAGCAATTTGAAATCATATTATTTTTGTTGTTTTTTTTT